CCCTCTCTCTCTCTCTCTCTCTCTCACCAAGGTGTGGTTGAGAAAGGAGTCATCTTCCAGAGCCCTGGCATCAGGATCAGCCAGGGCATTCAGCAGAAGCTCTGTGATATGAACTCCTTCCTCTCCAGGAATTGCACAAGCGATATGGATGGGGTACAAGCCTCCTTTCTGAGGAGTAGTAAACGACAATATTGGAATTTATTATAAATCATTGTCGTTACCTCAGAATTACCAATCTCTACCTTCCCAATACTAAGTTTTGGGAAATTTGATATAAAGATTTTCGAGTTTTACAATTATTATGTAAGGCTTTTTCTAATATGCAATTCTTGGAATATCTTGATAACGGCTCTGAAGATTCTTGTGATTTCGATACAGCAGAGCATTTAATTCGCTTCCTGACCTCTTGGTCTTAGTAACTCAAAACGGCCAAAAAATATCAGACAGAACTTTGTAATTCTGATGTAGCGCAGTGTTTAGGAAAAAAGTAGCCATCTAATATAGGTGGGTGCCACCTATGAATGCTCCTATATTATTAGTAGTAATATCATCAGAGTTGCTTTTATTGCACTAATCAATTACATTTTCACTATCATTCTGATTATTGTTATTATCATTTATAGCTATTATTTATGATAACTAATTTGACAGAATGCCAGACATTCATGCCATAGCTAAATATACTGCTTCATTCACAAGGATATATCAGTCCTCACGATAGTACAACGACAGGAGTAATAATATAATATACAGCATTTGTATGGCACAAATTCACACTCAACAGCAAACTCTATGTGCTTTGAAGTCCAAATTGCTATCACCCCAGCAGACCTGATAGCACTCTGAAACTATCTTCCAGCCTCTTCCAAGGACACAATGTTGAGCTGAGCTGAACTTCCAAACCCCAAACCAGCAACCTCACGATTATGAGCCCAGTAACCCAACAACTAGACAACTGACATAACAAGACAGGTTCAATAGACATCCTCTGTGACCTTTGCCCTCACCTCAGCACTCAGCTTTGTGTTCGTGTCCGCCCCTTTCATCAGCAGCTGCTGCACCATCTCAACGTCCGCTGACTTGATGGCGAAGAAAATCACAGGCATGGGCACCGAGGAGGAGTTTGGGTCGGCTCCACGTCGGAGCAGAAGGTCAAGGGTTTGTTTCATCCTCTCGTGACTGAGGAAGTCAGGCAAAAATCATAATTTGTACGTCTGTATGTTTAAGTAAAGAGAACATCTATCGAGGGGAACATCTATCAACATAAAAATCTTAAGCGTAGCCTGGAGTCTGAAAAGAGAAGCCATCGTTCATTTCGAGGTACAGAGATAAACACTGACACAGTAAAGAAAATTTTCATGCTTAGAAAAAAAGCAAGAGACACAGACTAAACTGGAAAAGAAAAAACATCAGCATGTTTGTGAAAAACGGAAATATATTGACACAATTAAAAGTGTGTGGTGATAAGCTTAGGAAAAAAAAATCAGGTTTAGCTGTAGTAAGAGTTTTACAGCACTTGCAACACATTAAGTTCATTTAAGTGCCAAAGATGAGAGGTGTTACAAGACATCATGATAATAGTTATTTGATAGGAAAGAAGGAGCAAGCCACACCAGAGCACCCACTAAAAACAGAGAAGACAGAAATAAAGTCTATTAAAAGGCACCATTCAACTACATAGTACCTGCCAAAAAAAGGGGAATGGTTCACTATAATATGTGTTAAAATCCCATTTCAAGTCATGATTTAACCAGCGTCTCAAACAGCATCAAGGCAAAGTAGTGGAAAACAATACGAGTAAGAAACTCTGAATTATTCAAGTACAAGTATGCACCATTGAAAATTTGAACCAGTATATTATTTTGCGCCACAATCCAAACAAAAAATCATTCATGATGTAATTACGGAAGAACTAATTTGAGAGCCATCGTGGTAAAATCAGGGGCTTGTCAAAATAATGAAATCAAAGAAATCTGCATTTTAAGGCCACTGAGCAATTTCAATAAAATTTTCCTTTCTTTTTTTTTTTTTTTTTTGTTCAACACCTTTTACGTTCATTTAAAAATATATTTCTGTGTGGAAGTTATCGTAAAACATTGTTCATAGGCAGAAAAACTGTAAATTTGCAGTTTTCTAGGACACCCAAGCTTTGGGAGGCGCCAAACTTTGGTGATCATTTTCTCTGTAACTTTACTTCTGACACCAGGCGGCCCCACCTCTTTCAGTCGCAAATATCGGTATCTCCACTTCTCTTCACGATAGAAGGTTTGGGGTTTTTTTTCATCAAAAGCAAGACATATGAACACACTTTAAGATGATACAAATAGCTGTATCCAAAGGTTGACAAGCGAGCGTCTGATTCCACCATGTCGTGACACATTTGATCAAATGTAAATGGGTTGTGAGATAAAAAGCCACATTTCCCTTGTAAGCAGATCGGGACAACAGAACAGAACCACTCACTCAAAAAGAAGTAGAAGCACATCCACATCAGGGTGCCTACCACCTAGAAGCATCATTAACTGGTGTGTGTATGCATGTATGTTTGAGAGAGAGAGAGAGAGAGATAAAGAAAGAGAGAGAGAGAGAGAGAGAGAGAGAGAGAGAGAGAGAGTGTTTGAGTTTGTGTGTGTGCGTGTGTGTTTGTGTGTGTGTGTGTATGAGAGAGAGAGAGAGAGAGAGAGAGAGAGAGTGAGTGTGTGTTTGTGTGTGTGTGTGTGTGTGTGTGTGTGTGTGTGTGTGTGTGTGTGTGTGTGTGTGTGTGTGTGTGTGTGTGTGTGTGTGAGAGAGAGAGAGAGAGAGAGATAAAGTGAGTGAGTGAGTGTGCGTGCGTGTGTGTGTGTGTGTGTGTGCTTGTGTGTGTGTGTGGACTTGTTTTCATATAATATATTATATATAGTATAGAAGGAGACAAACAGAGAAAAGCATGCATAGGGCTCTGAGGTGAAAGCAGAGCAACATTGATGAATGAGTCCAAGTTAACCCTTTCTATTCCTTTTGCATGAAATAACCACTTTCTTCTTTTTCTCCCTCTTTCCAACAGTACAAGCCCCACACTTTGAAAACCTTTCAACTCCTCACTCCACATGTATGTCTCTAAGTTAGATAACATGTTATTTATAAAAGCTTCAGCTTGGGTAAGCCACTCTGCTGTTTGAGGTATAATAACAACAACAGCAACAATAACAACAGCCTCAATAACAACAACAACAACAACAACAACAACAACAACAGCATTAACTGTAAAAACAATACCAACACCATCAATAACAACACCCTTGACAGCTACAATTTTAACAACAACCTCAACAACAATTATGACAACATCCTCAACAACAACATAAACAATAACACCCACAAAAACACATCCTCAATAACAACAACAACAACAGATCCGTTTAGTTTTAGTTAGAGTCTTATGGCACTTGCAACACAATACGGTCATATAAGTGCCCAAGATCAGAGGTGTTACAAGAGAGTAACAAACACAAAAAAAGGAGGAGAGATAAGGACGATAGATGTTTGATGGGAAAAAAGTGGCAAACCACACCAGAGCATCCGCCAACCACCCTGCACAGATTCTTCAACTAAAAAAAAAAAATCTGAAACAGCAGCAGTAACAATAGAAATGTCAACAACAACAACAACAATAATAACAACAACAACAACAACAACAACAACAATAATAATAACAATAACAATAACAACAACAACCACACTCTCCACTGAAAGAACTTACTGAGACATCTGCACGGCAAGTCGTCGAGCTTTACTGTCGCCCACCTCAGAGGCCTCTCTGCTGACAACCAGCGTGTTGTGGCTGAGCTGAGTGGCACAGCGCTCCACCAGCTGCTCGCTCACTTCAATGTGGTAATTCCGCATGCTTTGATTGGACTCAAACTCTTCCGGCCCCTCTTCATCGGGTTCATCTCCATTGGCAAAACGATTCTCAAAGTCCCCACCATAAGCAGAGTCACCGTCGCCGTACCGCGTGAGCGTTATTTTCCCATCATCATCTTCTCTTAATTCAGAATGTTCAACAAGAGTTCCTGATGGATGAGTTGTCAAAATCTTCACTTGATCTTTCCCCCCCGGTCTGAATTTTGAATTTTTGCTCGCCAGAGGCAAACTTGTAGAAGTGCTGATTGATTCAGACCGAATTTTATTGATCTGGTTCAGCCTGCTGGCACGCCTTTCTTTATTGTTAGCAAGAATGCCTTTGGGCATACCATCTTGCTTACTGTCCGCACATTCAAGTTCCGGAGGCTTGACCATGTATCGTTCAGCCATATTGTAGAGAAAACCTTCCACAGGGTAATAGAAGATAGTGCCAGCAGAGAGAGCAGAGCAGCCCTCATCACTCAGTTTGTTGACATCTGCCCCTTGGTTGAGAAGTATGTTGATGACTTCAATGTGCCAGTTCACCTGTTTATGAAGAAAATAAATGTTAGAAATGGGTTGAGAAGAATGTTGATGATTTTAATATGCCAATTCACCTGTTATGAGGGAAAAGAAAAGCATTAATTTTGAACATGATTGAGAAGAATATTGATGATTTCAACGCGCCAGTCAGTCCACCGGTTTATACATCCAGCTTAAATGCATTCAGTTTTTAAAAGAATGTACTGAAATTTTATTGAAAGACTTGTTTTCATCTTAAAATAATATCCCACCAAAAAATACTTACAGTTGCTCCAATCAAAGCAGTCCTCCCGTGTCTATCTGAAACATCAGGATGAACCTTCCCAGAATTCAACAGCGATTCCACCATTGCAGCATCACCAGAGCCTGCGGCAACCAACAGTTCCTCGGACTGCCTCTCTAAGGGGCCCTTGTCTTTGAATTTGCTACGATCTAATTTTAAGATTGCATCTATGTCAACGTCTATTCTCAACTTTCCAGCATCGTGTTTGAGAGTGTGTTTCTGGAGAGCCACTATGCTGGGTGTCATATTCCAAGCCACCACCTGACTACTCATCACTTGTTTCTTCGGCATGCTTTTAAAGAATTCTTCATTGAAAGTTTTTCTGTCAACAGCCAGGCTTCGGGGATCAAGAGCTTCGCTGTACAGTTCGTTCAATTTCTCTGAGAGGTCCAGCTTCGGGTGATAGTCAAGGGCAGCTGGAGGGTAAATCACATTTTCTATTGGAGCCAAAGTGTGGTTCTCATCTTCCACTGTGATGTAAGCACGATGTTCCTCAGCTTTATACTCAAATTCTGGATGGTCAGTGATTGTGAAGGCTTTGTCAATCTCTGTGCACAGCTTAATGATTTTTTCTCCATGCCACATCCCCACGTCTTGAGTTCCATCTTTGTATGTAACAACACCAGGACCTTCACGTTCATCTTCTTTGTAGAGACCCTGGGGGAGGGGGGGGAGGGGGGAGGGGGGAGTGAGCGGGGGATGAAAAAAGGATAATAATAAAGAAAACAAGAAAACAAGAAAGCAAATAAAGTTGAAGACCTATTGTCTGAAGCTAAAGAATATCACATTGGCATAAAAATGATGATGACTGTATGGTCCCCAAAAAAGTAGTTTGACAAACAAACAGTAAATAATTAGAGAGTAGTAAGGACAACAAAGAGAGCCTCACTGCAACTCACAAAGAAAAAAATATGGACAGCATTCACAGCAACTATAAAAAAACTAAAAATATATAATTCTGTCCATCACAGAAAAGCAAATCTTTCCGCAAATGTGTTGAGTGAGCCGGGAATTTTAAAAAAGAGCCTTTTGTAATCTGAGGCAACCAAAACTTTAGATCATACTCATCTATCATATGTGATCACATCAACTATTCCTTTTTATCATTCTTGGACACTGCTTATTTTTTGGGTTAGTTTTTTTGTTTGTTTGTTATTAGAGGCCTTGTTCAACCCTATAAAAATTATGCTCACCTGATTAGTATAACAGTCTGCACTATATGTGGTAGTCACCTCACTTCTTTCGTATTATGATTTTAGTATTGTATTGCTATAGCTTTAGCTTTATAAACAGCAAACAGACATGAATAATCTCTTTAGTTTTCATGTATTTTTTAGCAAACTGATGCAATGTAGACAATTGGATAAAATAATTTCTGACAATGGCCTTGTAAAACAGAAATGAACTAACCATAAACACAATGAGAACAATGTCATAAAGTGGAATGCTTCAACTCAGCATTCCTGAAGAAAGGCATTGAAATTCAATAACAGACTTTTCCACACAGGAAGCAAGCTCATCTTTTCCATGCAAGAACCATTACATCACAGACACTGATGGGTTATCTCTTTGCAGACTGCAGTAACTGTGGGAAATCTGTGAGTGTTCAGAGTTCTTCCAACATTGAATTTGAAAGGACTAACTTTATATATGTTATAGCATTAGTTCAAGTTTCAATAATTTATTTCATTAACACTTACAGTACAGTCAGCGGCTTAAGACGCCAGGCCGTAGTATGCGCTCACTACTGCTGGCGACTTTAGTCGCTGAAGCGACCAGGCACACTAAACATAATTAAACAACGAACGGACGCACTGCACTAAAGTAAATATCAAAGGAAGTCACTCGTCATAGGATAGCTGAATAGTTGATGAACCTCTATGAATATTTAAAGAGTGTTTCCTGGGCTGCTAAGGCTTTCTTAATTTTAAAAAATTCTACAACGGCTTCAGCGTTCTAAACTGGTGCGGTACCTAGGGGTTTTCACTATATGAGCCTTCGGTACAGTAGGTGTTAAACTAACATGGACTTACTTGGAACATATCACCAGTGGCAAAATTAAAGGTACCATAGCCTTCCTTCTTATCCATATAAAACGTTCCTGTGTAGGAGGAACCATCCGGCCACTTGTAAACACCAATACCATGGCGCCGGTCTTTGAAAAATGTTCCTTCATAAGTCTGAAATATAGCACACAAGAACCAAAAGATAAAAAACGAAAAATGGAGAACTCAACACAGCTACATTTTACAGAATTGTTAGCCTGTCATCAACAAAAATTGATCGGGAAATTACAACTCCTTTGAGTACAATTCAACAAACCAACACCAAAGTATATTTGAAAGGAGATCACCAACAATCCAACTAACCAATTCAATCATCTTTCATTTGAGAAATATTTATTGACTTTTTAAAAAAATTCTTTTTCTTCTTTTTAAAGGGGGGGGGGGAGGAATGGGGAGGTGTCAACACCTTTTGTGTTCATTTAAAAACACATTACACATGTCTGTATGGACTTTAGGATTTTACTGAAAAACGTTGATCAAAGGCACAAAAAATGTAAATTGCACTCAAGCTTTGGAGGTCACCAAACTTTAGCTGCCATTTTCTTGCTATTTTTACCTCTGCCACTTTCACTAGCAATATCTCTTCACTTTTACTAATCAAAAATAGATAAACGAATAAGTTTTAAGATGATACCAACATCTCCATAAGTCCAAAAATTGATGAGCTCCTGATTCCACCACAACATGACACAAATACAATATAACTAGGGAGTTATTTTCACATAATGTATTGTACATGTCTGGCTGTGGGACTAAAAGTCGACATCCTAACACTATCTGACAATTCTGACAACCAGATTGTGGTAAACCTTTTATTCACTATGATGAACAAATGCAACATGTAGAGCTCTTAGTGAAAATTATTTATCTTTCCCTCTCATTTTTTAAGAGACCCAGATCGAGTTGAGGATAAGGACCAGAAAAAAAGCTGTCCTTCCCTCTCTTGAGGGAGATGAAAGCTTATTTCAAATCTGTAACAAATATTAATGTATGGGTTTATTTATTCTCATTTCATATTCATCATTGTCCCTCACACAAACATACAGGGGGCCACAGGCAAATGCTGTCCATAGATTTTTTTTAAACGCTTTAGTTTCAGAATGAATGAAAAGATTCTATCACTAGATTCTGAGCACAAATCAACAAGAGAACGAAAGATATGACATACCTCTCCATTGGACCACTGTATACTTCCTTCCCCATGCCTCAAATCATGGACAAAGTCTCCAGTGTACGAACTTCCATCACTCCATACTTGAGTTCCTGTGTCCCACCAAAATTCAACAACATTAAACTCCCGAAAGATAATTCTTTTAAGTTGGGAAAAATAAAACTTTGAACTTTGCAAACTTGACAACACACAATAGAGTACGTAGCAACAATGAAACGAGCAAAGCATTTATTATTCAATAAACAGTAGTTAAAAGAGAATTCTTTTGAAAGGACATAAAAAGATCAAAGTAAAGGAACAACAAAAGTATCTAAAAACTATACAATGACCTACGATGTTAAGAAGCCTTAGAAAAAGACGAGTAAGACATTACTTTGAGACATTACTTAGCACCACTTTTCCCAAAACATTGAGCAATATTATCACATTCACTGTCACCAGCTGGACAGCCTGATCTCCACACATCTATAAAACAAAACAAAAGATAAACAAGCAGAATATCGCTATAAATGGCTACAATTAGAGTATCAGCAATCACAAAGAGAAATCATCAAAAAACAATTTTACAAGAAAAATAGTTCACCTTTTCCATGCCTCAAATTTTCAGAGAAATCCCCTTCGTACTTTGATCCATTTGGCCAAACAAAAGTCCCATGGCCAATCCTTTTGTGGTCCACAACATTTCCTTCAAACTTTGCACCAGTGCGATAATTGACTTTTATCGAACCGGGGATTCCAGAGCCCTCAAATGACGACGCTGTGTTCAACCGTTGCATCCCCTCAACAGCCATGGTTCACCTCCAGGACAATATCTACAGCAGAAGACAATTAGAAGAATTATTCTCAAGAACCTAAATTAATGTAATAGCAACCATTGTCCATGTCTGAATTTAATCATGTAGGCTAATCTATAGAAATTGTCACAAATTTTTGCTGTATACTATATTGTACATTAATAATTTGGCCATAATTATATTATAGTATTAATTCATTATCTACCAAAGGAAGAAACATTAATTTTTTTTCCGCTCCACAGACAAGGCCGTCCCACATTTAAAAAACAATTTGTATTAGAACATCTGAAGAATATTATTATGTCAATAATTTATGTGGCTTGAATCATTATTACCCTTTCATGCCTGGCATGGGATTGATAACATATATGCGGTATTTATCTTTGTTGAGATAACAACAAATAACAACTGACAACAACTGATAACATACCCACATTTATGACCTAATTAATTCAAACTTTTTCACATGCAATTATTTTATCATCTGTAGGTCTACATATCATTTAGACTGGTGACTCAGTGTGAGGAAATAGTTTATACAAATCAAACACTGATAAGAATTCTAAAGGAAAGCTTTGCAGCAAAAAGGCAAAATGTACATCAGACAGAGAACCAAAACAAATGATCAGTCACAAGTAGCAAATCTCTTTCCCTTCAAAGGAGTTGGAAAGGGTAAACGTTTTGACTGAAAAAGATATAGGCCCGCACTGACTTTATCTGTTATCATATGTAAATTACAGGTAAATAAGTTCAGTTTCAATCTAATTATAGTAAATTACAGGTAAATCAGTTCAGTTTCAATCAAATCAAGTCGAACCTGTCCAAGATGACTATGACTAGCCATCGCGGAGAAAAGTAGTCATTTTTGACAACATAGTCTTCTCGGACAGTGTCATTATAATAATATTTTTAAAATGTAAGTTGGGGAAGACTTCTCGTTTTGTACAGGTGATTGTCTTGAACAGGTGGCTGTTAGAGCAGACGTTCGATTATATTTCAAATATAAGATTAAAGCTCCTGTTTCAAAACTACAAGTCATTTTATTTTGATGTAGTGTCGCTCACTGACAGCCAAAATAGTAGCTCTAGCGTTTGAGCAGTCTAAATTTAATCTTAGATCACATCATTGAGATAATTAAACATTCCAACCAAGAAAGTAATATGAATGAGCAAAATATAGGCCTATCATTTGTGACAAGCGGATAATTAGAGAACGACAACTAAATGCCATTGGCCGATATTTATAGCAACAGCCATCTTGTTTG